AGCAAATCAGTATTGTTTTAAATCTAAAGAAGTGGAAATGAAATCTCTAAAAGGGCACCTGTAGAAATGCTATTGTCTCCAAAAGGAATTTATGAAATCCCAAGACATGTCTTATCTTAAAATTAATAATCAATGTTTAAAAAATTACGATTCTAGGGGTGGGGATGTAGATCAGTTGGCAGATGCTTATTTAACACAGATAAAGCCCTGGGCCTGGTCTCACTCAGCACAGCATAACTGGGTATGGTGGCACACACCTAGGTGGGCACAGGAGGATCAGAAAGAAGTTCAAGGCCATCCTGAGTTATGTAGTCAGTTTAAGGCCAGTCTTGGTTACATGAGAACTTGTCTAAAAAAATAATTAATTAAAATTAAGATTCTGAACTCTTAAATTATAATATATATCACTGTGAAAAAGGTTGGCAGTTTTTCAAATATTAGGCATAAAATCACTACGTAATCTTGTAAATATATATATATATATATATATATATATATATATATATATCCAAAAGGACTGAAAACAAAGACTCAAACCAGTATCTAAAAGTAGCATTATTGGGTGAAGATGTAGATATGGTAAAAGGTTTGCCTCGCATGCAAGAGGCAGTTTAACCCAGCAACACAGACACACAGACACGCACAGATTATTCACAAGAGTCAAAGGGCAGAAAGAATCCAAATGTCAAAAGATAGACTACATAAACAGAGTGTTAAACACACACACACACAAAAACAAACAAACAAAAAAACATTCAGCCAATGAAATTTCTAAAGCTGGGCATGGTAGTTCAAGTCTGTAATCCCATAAACTCAGAAGGCCGAAGCAGGAGGATTAGAGCAAGTTTGAGATCATCCAGGGCTACAGTTTGAGACTAAATAAATAATTGTGTGTGGGGGGAATTAAGGGGAAGGAAAAAGGAAAGAAAGGAAGAGTAAAGAAATTCTGATGAACAGGGTACAGTGACACACAACAGTGATCCCAGCACTCAGGGAGGCAGAGGAGGGGGATCTCTGAGAGTTCGAGGCCAGCCTGGTCTACAAAGCAAGTCTAGGACAGCCAGGGCTACCTAGAGGAACCCTGTCTTGAAAAACTAAAAGAAAAAAAAAAATCATGATGGTTGTACAACGTGAATAAACTTGAAAACACTAACACATGGAAAATTAGGATGAAAATTGCCTGATTCAGTTTCTATGAACTAACTCAGAGCATGAAAAGGCAAATAAACAAAACAAAACAAAAACAAAATCAAAGAAAGGATAAGCAGGGCCTGGGAGAACGGAGACTTGCTGTTTAATGGAGACAAAGTTTTATTTGGCCTTTTTTTGCTTTTTGAGTGGACTTCTACTTGAAGTGATGAAAATATCCCAGAGGTAAGACTACGATGATGATACAATATTATAAGACTAGAGTTAATACTACCAAGTTGTAGAAAGTGACTAGAATAAACTGTACCTTCCAGGCATTGTACCATAATGCAAATAAATGTCATGCAATTTTACAATGACGTATCCTTTTACCATAATGAAAAAAAAAGTATAATACATGTAACGTTCCTATAAAAATAAAGGCAATGAAATATTTTCAGATTTGGAAACAGAAAATCCTAGCTTGGTATGGCCATGTACACCTGTAAGCTTAGCAGCTGGGAGGCAGAGAAAGGAAATCACTACAAGTTCAAGGATAACCTGGTCTCGTGTGTGTGAGTGTGTGTGTGTGTGTGTGTGTGTGTGTGTGTGTGTGTCCTGCAGCTCAAGCTGGCCTCACTAGGAGAGGATGACCTTTAATCCCTGATCCTCCTGCCTCTACCTCCCAGTGCTTAGACTGCAGGTATGCACCAATACTTCTAGCTTCAAGCTTGGTCTACACTGGGAGGTTCCAGGCCACCAGTGTTACACAGTGAGACCTTGCCTCAAAATAGACAGACAAAAAAAAAAAAAAAAAAAAAGAGAGAAAGAAAAAGAAAATAGAAAATCCTCTTCTATGGTGACACACGATAACTATAAAAGATGTCTTATCATCAAAGGCGGATGAATAACCAGAATGTGAGGGCACATACCTTTAGGGATGCAAATTTCTACAAGTTCATGGCCCAGCCTGGTCTACATAGTGAGTCCCAGACCAGTCAAGGCTACACAAAACAAAACAAACAAACAAACAAAAAAAAAGAGTTGATGAATAAAGTTACTATGACAATACAACATTATTAAAAAAAAACAAAAAACCTACAATGGAAACTTTTAAATAGGATTGGCCAATGATTGTTCTAAAAAGATCAATCAATTTGTTATTCTTCAGTCAAGACTCTAAAGAGGTGTCAAGGGCCTGCAGGATGGCTCAGTGGGTAAAGGTGGTTGCTACCAAGCCTGAGGACCTGAGTTCAATCCCACAGGGTGGAAAGAGAGGACCAAGTGTCACATTGCCCTAGTAATTTGATTAACATAATATGATAAGCAAACTTTTCAAATAACTGAGGTTAAAAAAAAAAATCTCAAACAACATTTAGAGGACCAGAACGGTTTTGTTTTGTCTCTTCCCAGCTGTTTTTAGAAAAGCAGCCTCCACCACATGCTCCTTCCCGCCAAGACTGCTAACTCCGGGGCCTGAAAGCAACAGGGCCAAGGGGCTGGAATCGCTAAAATTGGGAGCTAACATAAACCTTTCCAAATAAACAGGCAAGAAGATTGAGAAACAGTGCTAACAGGGCTCCAACTAATTTAAATAGCCCTTATCAGCCCACTCCTTAAGTTCCTCTAGTAGAATGTCTGTGACTTTTATTATTAATCCTATTTCAAGAATGAGGCCATGGCAGGCTGTCAGATATGGTGTGGATCTCGATAAATCAATACCTTACCACTATATGATAACTCTGAAAAGCAGAAGTTCCAAAGCAATACATAGTCCCTCCAGATAAAAATCCTAGTCTGCACAAAAGACAAGGTCCCATGAGACACTGAGCAGTCCAGCATTTAGGCTGTAAGTTTCTAGTCATATAGTGTTTAAGGACATTACCGCAGTGGTGCTCAGTTACAATGGTCTCAGCTATAATTTCTACTTTAGCTTGCCTTTAAGAAATCCAAAACAACATCCACATATTATTGCTCTTACTCACATACCTAATTATAGTTAATTTGATAGAAGATGGCTTTTATTTTCCAACTGAGAATTCTGAAGTCAAAGGGGAAGGCTTTAAATGGTTTCCTTAAGAATCCACTGGTCAGCTTTTATCTTGCAGGAACCACGTGGATGAGGCTAGAAAATTACTACATCTTACAGCTCATGTAAATCTCCTTCTTAAAATAACCTGTGCCACAGGGCTGCACAACTTACAGGCTTACCATTCAAGTGTGATTACCAAACTTCAGAATGTGGGTCAGGCCAGTCCTGCCTCTGTTTTTAGGAATAGACATTGTCTTAGACTATAATCACACTATAAGGCTAGGTATAGCCTGGCTGTATAGGAAGACACTGTCACCAAAAAAGGGGGAGAGAATATTCTCAATTATATGTTTAGACATCGGATCTTTTGTGCAACAGTGACTTTTCTGAGTTGTAGCACCCGGTACCTTGAGGCTGGCAAAGCCTGTAATGGTTTCCGTTGGCTCTTTGTGGAAAGCACTGACAACTCCTGGTCTCTGCGACCGCTGCCCCCAGAGTGAGGCAGTGCAGCAGCCTTGAGACAATTTACTGGACGTAGCAGGCAACTCGGAAGGCTGAGATGCAGTAATGCTAGGATGCGCCTCAGCTTACGCCGCTTGCACGCGGCGATGCATTTAAACCCCAAGCTCTTCAAAGAAAATCACACAGGGGCATGAACGCAGTGGGACTTGTAATGATGCCTCCCAAAACTGTTATAATCCTCAACTATGTATGTAAAAACACTATACAAATCCTTACCATTTCAATAATCATATATTCCAACACAGGTTGACCTTATATTCTCCTTTTTTCCTTACACAAAATTAGTATGTCAGAAACACATGCTGCCACATCTAACTTAGCCTCAAAGTGAGGGCTTCCCAGTCTCACCACCACCTTCTTCCACCCATCAGAACAATACTTCTATTCTAGAATCAACTTAACTTTCAGGTTTTATTTTTTGAGATGGGACCTTGCTATGCTGCCTGCCCAGGCTAGTTCCAACTCCTAAGTTTCAATGAGTAATTGGAGCATCTTAAGGAACTGGGACTACAGATGACAAGCTTCTTTCTCTGCACAACTCCAGGGATTAGACCTGACAAGACAGAGAGGGAATAAAAAATGGCAAACCCTCACCACGTGGACATAGAAAAACTAGGAGTGGGTGGTCGGGCTCTCGGATAGAGAAGCTGCTGCATCCAGGAAGCTCAGGCTGTTTATTATATACAGCTGACCAGGGAGGTGGGGCTATTGTCTGCAGCTGGGCAGGGATCAGAGCTGAACAAGAAGATGGGTTTAGCTAATATCAGTAGCAGCAAACTCTGTAAGGGAGCAGCGTTCCAGCCATCAACATCCTAGGGAAGAACACTATGGCGGACATTTTCTGCCCACTGTCAACATCCACACATGGGTCCTAGAAAGGTTTTGCCATTACTGAGCCTCGCCCAGGGGTTAGGCTTTGCCGTTTCACCATGGGTCTCAGGCTTTTAGGTCCTGTACATGGCTGTGGCCATGCCAATGCATGTCCATTCAGGACTCGGGGCTTTCCCTGTTCCCCACAGTTCTGATTATCTAACCAACACTTGTTATTTACTCCTATTCCTCCTTTGTTATTGAAAATCCTGATCAACATGTGGCTCATTCTGTTTTCTGTTATATAGCTTCAAGCATTTTAATCCAAGATGTGAAGAATCAGTTCAGATTATAAATAGAAGAAAAACACCAAACTTGATAAAAAATATTTCTAAACATTTCAAAAAAGATGATGACTTTGATAAAATATCTATTATTTTAAGTTCTATTAGAAAATATACTACAGATTTAAAATATGCTATCAAATAAGTTTTATTTGACTCTCAAAAAAAATATGGAACACCTCACAGATCTGCATGTCATTATTCGCTCAGGAGTCATGCTAGTCTTTTCTCTGTATAGCTCCAATTTTAGAAAATGTTCTGCCAAAGCAAGCACCCATTCTATTTTCTATGATTCACTGATCTATTTCCATTTCTATCATATAAATGTGTGTGTGTGTTTCTTTTTGGTGTTTTGAGACAGGGCCTCAGGTAACCCAGGCAGGCCTTGAACTCTGCAGGTCACTAGAACTCCTGATCCTCATGTCCCTGCAGGTGTGCGCCAGCATGCCCAGCTCTGTCGTGTTCTTATTTTATGACTTGGGAACCTTTAATGTGTGCATATACTTATGCCTACGCTCTGTGTCCCACCAGACTGCCCATCGGTGCTCACATGCAGTAAATATCCACAGACTTGGACTGCTTGGCATTGGACACCCAGTTCTGCGCTGGGTTCCAATCTTCTGCTTATCACACCAGGCGAGGTCGCCTTCATCACATCCGTCCACTTTTCAAAAAGGCAGGAGGGGCGAAGGCAAGGGACTCTTGCAAGTGGAGGAGAGGGCTTTCAGTTTCCGTGTGATGTCCAATACCTTATGTGTGAGCTCCTTTTTGTGGCTGTAATTTTTCTTTAAAAGATCAATATTACATCAGGTTTATCAATATAACCTATTCCCTCATTTAATCTTTGCAGCCAAATTGTTCACATCAGATCTCCTCATAAATAAACACAATGTTCCAATCGAGCTGTTGGCAGCAGAGTGTTCACAATGAGGGACCTTCACTCTCTTGGCAGGAACGACAGAATTAGCTAATTACAGTACAGTCTCCTATGTCTGTTTTCATTGGGATAAGGGACAATCTGGCGATATCAAAAGCAAATGATCCAGAAAGACGTCTTAAGATCCTTCTGCAAAGATGATAATCTCCTCCTAAGTCATCTCAGAGTGGGCATTTCTCCACCTAAAATTTCCATGATGGTAAGAAAAACTCCAAGATGTTTTCACAAGAGTGAGGTTTGAAAGTCTCAGTGTACCAGGCAGCTGAGAAAGGTTATCTTGGTGAAGCTGAAAACCTTCAGGGGCAGAGGATTTACAAAAAAAAAAAGAGAGAAAAGGTTAAAAAAAAAATTAAAGCTCAAATTTTCTTTGGGAGAGAAAGAGTTAAATAGGAGACAAAGCAAAAGAGCATTTTAGAGGAAGTGCTTTAGAATCCTTTCTTTTGGGGAGCAGCACAGAGGATCTTGAGGAACCTGCTCAGTATCAGAAATAAAGAATTCAAAAATGTTAAAGATTTCATTTCTCACTAGCTGTGTCACCTATTATGGTGCCCTTCTATGGCAAGCACTTTAGACTGAGCTACAAGAAGCCTGGTGTGATGGTCCATGCCATTAATCCCCGCACTCAGAGACAGAGGCTGGCAGATCCCTGAGTTCCAGGGCAGCCTTGTCTAGAGTAGAGCAGGACAGCTTCACAGAGAAGAGACATTTTTCTTCTCATGACTTATATTCTGCTTGCTTCTAAAAAGGACAAGAGGAAACGTGTAGAATAAAACAATGTGTGCTATTTAGGGCTAAGACAAAAATGTGTCCTTCAAACAACAAGGGAAAATGCAGACCCTGAGGTGGGCTGCAGCAAAGCATGTAAGGCAGCTTCAGTCCCCATTTTCCTCCAGCGCAGTGTCAACAGGCCAAGCACGGCTTTTACCCCGGGCCCTGTCACAGGGCTGTTGAGCAGGCTACAACTGTAAAGCCCCCTTCCTAGGGAGCTTAGACAGTCAAAAATAAAATGGCCTTCTGAGACATCTGTCCTGCCTTTCTTTCCTTATCTTTTAACAACGAAGGATAAAAGTGCGAATATCTTTCTTGGTTTTGGAGAGACTTGGTTTTCTGTTTGTTTGTTGGATGGGAGGTCTTGCTACATAGCCCAGGCTAGCCTTTGGCCTGTGACGCTCCTTCTTAATCAGCCTCCCAAGGACTAGGGTTAGTAGTAGGGATGTAAACTGCAAAAGTGAAATTCTGCCCTGGGATACGGGTGGAGACCCCTTGGAGGAGGTCACATGTCAGAGATTTACTTTACAATTCATAACCGTGGCGAAAGCACAGTTGTGAAGTGACAATGAAATCATTTCACGGTTGGGGTCACCGCCTGAGGGACTATTTTAAAGGGCTGCAGCAAAAGGCAGGCTGAGGACCACTGCATTAGAGGGTGCCTTAGTTAGAGTCACTGCTGCCATGATGAAACGCCATGACCGAACGCGCCCTGGAAGAGGCAAGGGTTAATCTGGCTTATATATCCCAAGGTCATAGTCCAGGAACATGGAGGCGGCAGCAGATACAGAGGTCATGGGGGGCGCTGCTTACTGGCTTGCTCAGCCTGCTTATTGAACCGGGCACTACCAGCCTGCGGTGGCGTCCCCACATTGAGCTGGGCCCTACCCCATCAGCCAGTAATGCCCTACAGGCCCGCCTACAGCTTGATCTTATGGAAGCATTTTCTCTTCTCAGTTGAGGTTTCCTCTTTCCTCCTTACAGATGACTTCAGCTAATATCAAGACGACATAAAACAAACTAGGACAGAGGAGGAGCAGAAACCCATACATTTTGTTCCTTTTCATCAATAATCAATAATATCTTATAGGAACAGGTTAGGGATATTTGAGTCACATGAATGCCTACAGGTTAAGACACCAGTTCTCAATATGTCTTCATTCTCTACCAATTTTGTTCTGACTGCATAGTGCATGGAAAGTGATAAACTTCGAACAAGGAAAACATCCCAAACCAAGATCATCTTTTGCATTTGACACCATAAATGCAAAAGATGAATTTAAAATTTCTATTTTAAAAGGCAGGCTCCCACTTATGTTATTATAGATATTTAAGTCTTCCAATTTTCTCCCTTGTGAATCAACTATAAATACAGCTATAAACTATAAATATTCCAAGCCAATAGAGCACTAATTTACTTTGAAAAAAAAATCATACCAAGATAAGTCAATGCTAAAATGCTAGCAAAAATGTAGAAATTATTCTCAAGATAAAGTATCAACAAACTTAAATTCACTATCAAAGTGCTAGAGTCTTTAACATGATCTATTTGGGTTGCTGAGGCAGGAAGACCACTGCAAGTTGAAATCAGCCTAGGCTACATATTAACCTTGAGGCTAGCCTGTGGCCCAGTATGAATCCTGTCAAATAAACTAACCAATAGGGCTGGAGAGATGACTCAATGGTTACTCAAAATCACTCACCGCACACTGCTGAGTTCCCAAGACCCACGTAGCTCACAACTCCTGTAACTCCCGTTCTTGCTGGGCAGCTCTGCTCGTGTGGGTATACCCACACATACATACACCATTTAAAAACAAAGCAGCTACTTCAAAACAACAACAAACCAGCTAGGCTCATTCCGTTTTGGACTAGGATTTCCTGCCGAAGGCTGACCAAGACACTTTTTGAATTTACTCAGCCTGTAAAGTGCTCAGGCATTGAAGGTTTGTGTGGTGTCACAGGCAAGGGTGTGGCATCCAGGACTCCTGAGGTGGGCTGCAAGGACAGAAATAACTTCATGGGGGACAGTAACTCGGTGGCTAGGGGCCATTTGCCTAGCATGTGTAAGCCCTGGGTTCCATCCCCAGCAGTGAAAAACATTTTTTTTTTAAAGCTGAATAAAAAGGAAGAAGCCCAAACGAGCAACGGAAACCATTGGTGTGTGTGAGGCGTTATGCCTGACACTGCCAGGACTGTTGTGGAAAGTAACTGTGGCCGCTCAGAACAGAACGCAACGCAACGTAGTAGCAAGTCAACGGCATCAGCAGATGGTCCCCAGTGCCTGCGTGCCTCCAGCTGTAACATCCCAGAGAAACAGCTGAGTTCTTCTCATGTATTCAAAACTTTCTCCTTTTTATTTTTTCAGGTCTGAATAAAATTGGACTATGGGTCTTCTACAGAAAGTAACAGTCTGGGCTTTCTTTTTAAAGAATTTCTGCTTGTTTGTGTGACTAATTTTAGTCACTTTTAAAAAGTTAGCCCTTTTAAGTTAAGTAAGTTACACAAAAATTAAAGCGCTCGATTAGATGAGGTAGACACCAATCCTGGCAGTCTCCTCTCGCCTTGTGTCCTGACCGATGGCAAGTAACTTGACTGATTTAACAGAAATTCTGCCCATCGGGTATGAACCAAGTATCTTGCTTCTGCCAAGCATGACCACATAAACAGCCAAAGCATGGAGAAAAACAAAACAAGACAAAAGCTGGGTACGGTGGCACACACTTGTAATCCCAGCATTCAGTGAGGCAGAGGCATGAGGATCTCTGTGAGTTCAAGGCCAACCTCGTCTACAAAGCCAGTCCAGGACAGTCAGGGCTACACAAAGAAACCTTGTCTCAAAAAAAAAAAAAAAAAGGCATCATCTTTAAACCATTAACAGTACCACCAGAAATAATTATCTTTATCTTTATCAACATAAAGTACATACTAATTAAAATAAAACACATAAAATAAACTACTGTTAATTTTTTAACTCTAATTATTAGTTTTCAATTGATTCCGTTAATTAATTGAAATAAATTTTAAATCAGTACATCTTTTTTTTATTTACTTTACATCCCTCCTCTCCTCCCAGCACCTCCCCTTCCCCTATGCCCCCAGAAAACGGGACCCCCTTTCCCCCACCATATCAGCCCTCCTCAGCACATCAAGTCACATCAGGACTGCACATATCCTCATCCCCTGAGGACACGCAAGGCAGCGCTGCCAGGGGGAAGTGATCCAAAAGCATGCAATACAGTCCATGTTAGAAACAGACCCCCCTCCACTCACCAGGCACCCCGTATGAAGACCAAGCCGCCCAACAGCCACGCATGTGCAGGGAGACGGTCTAGGCCCAGACCAACATGCTCCTTAGTTGATGTCTCAGTCTCTGAAAGCCGCCATGGGGCTGGGTTAGTTGTCTCTGTTGGTCTTCTTATGAGGTTCCTGTCCCCTCCAGGTCATTCCGTCTTTCCTCCAACACTTCCACAGGACCCCTGGAGCCCCCTCCCCCCATGCTTGGCTGAAAATCCCAGCATCTCTCTCCATCCGCTGCTGGCTGGAGCCTCCCAGACAGAAGTCACGTT